ATACCAAACTCCAAGGTTAGCTGACTTTGTACCGCACATATCTCAATGGAAGATATCTCTGTGAAATTAACGGAAAATATTAAGTTTTCGAGCATTATGTCATTTGTAGTAAAAATTATAGTCCTTAGTAATGTCAGGTCAACGTTCAGTTTAGTTTCAGATGATACAGGACGCCAACACTTTTTGCGAATTCTAGATGAGACTTCATATCTTTGTTTGATACTTCGTTTAGTATCTTGACCTCCAAAGCTCCTAGATACTAAGACGAGTGCTGGATCCAGGTATAGGAGGTGTTCCAGCGTCTCTCTCATGTCAACACTCTCTCTCTGCACTTACTGCATGCATCGTCAACACTTATGACCATCCGACCCGCATGTGACGCCAGTAGGCTGTGATTCCGACTTTCACTCCATTAGCCATTTTGAAACCATCTGTATAGATGTTATTAGTTCCGCTAGTGTGTCGTAGGTTTGTGTACCTACCACCCTCTTTTAGTGTGTCTTGGAACTTGCCGAAGAGCTTTCCACTGAAATGTCGATTGGTGGTAAGTTGAGCAACCTTTATAGTGCCGCCGTTTGAGTGGTTCTTAGCGCTGCTGTTATGCAGAGAACAGCGTGTCGCTGAATATAAAATAAAATATAATAAAGAAACTGAGTCCATGACCCATGTTAGACCTTAGTATGATACAAAACATGTTTATAATCAATTTACAGGGTCATCGAATAATGAATAATAACATGTCACAGAGTATAATACACAGTTTGTCAACGTAATAACAATTGCATAAGTTGAATTATTCATGTCTGTCTGTCATTCAGCGGAAGTTCGTATTGTAGATAGGCGAAAATGCCCATCGCCGCCACTGGTTTAAATATTTTTTAAAAAGTGGGCCTTCATATCCACCAAACGCTATGTCAACTGTACTTTTTGTCAGTGAGACCTTCTAGCAACTTCTCATATAGTAATAGTGTCACCGCCCAGCGTTTGCTGAAATCCTATAACTTACGAACGATTCTTGCAATTTTAATGATTATTTTTAAAATTTATTGTTGTAAAATGGCAAAATCGGAAAAAAACCGAACAAATTTTAATATAACATAGCTTTTTTAAATTATGATTATTTTCCTCAAAGTATATTCGTATATACTATAAATAAGGAACCAATGAAGTATCAGAACGAATATTTGTGAAAATTTTGCTTTCGTCACTCTCACTCCAAGACAAACTTCGTAAAAGTCGGCTAAAATTACATGTTATTCCAGAAACTACTGATGATGCAAGATCGTCATGTGACGTATCGTGAGGTTTAGACAACCATAAGCATTAATGGGAATAGCATACATTCAATATGTCAGTATTGCAAATACGGAAGTATTTTTTTTCGGTTGTTTTCAAGAAATACGAAAGGATATTATTTTTCGGTTGTTTTCAAGAAATCAGGAATACCAACCACAGAAAGTGACATTTTTAAGTACTAAGATCATCGATTTAATGAGTGGCACCGAATGACTTCTTTTTCTTTCCGTACTTAAGTAAACAAAGGTGTGAACGTTTTCGACATTTGAAGAAGCGATTGATGCGTTCAGAATACATGTTTTGAAGATACCTCAATCTGAGTAGTAAAAGCGCTGCGGCAATTGGTTCAAACGCATGCAAAAATGTATGGATATTCATTGAGAAAGAGCATATTATTCTGATAATCATGTGCTCTTTTGCTATAAATTTCTAAAATAGCCTCTGCATACCTCATATAGTAATTTTAAACTTCTGGTCGACTTTATATGTAGTATATCATAGCAAAAGGGTTTAATGGCGAGAATTATGCATGTATTAACATTTATGGTTCATATATTTCAATCAAAATATTGATAACAGAGCATCATACTTCTTGGAAATATCGTCTACCAGATTTTGGCAACGTTCAAATGATAATCCTTCCCACACCTCTTTCACTTCTTGCCATGGATCTCCCAAACTGATTAGATTTCGTTCAGAAATTGTTTTTTCATATCTTCCCTGATTTTTTTTATGGGGTTGAGGTCAGGAAACTGAAGTATAACCTCGACTTCGTTGCGTAATGTTAAGGGTAAATTTCATGTTGGTATACCCATATAAATGTTATATTCTATCACGAATATGGTAGAATTGAAACAACACTACATATTGAAAATTTTCACCACCATCTTTTTAGCGCCGCCATATTTGATCGATTCTCAGGGAACATTTTAGATTTAATAAAAAATTTAGAAAATGTCTAAGCTCCCATTTTTCTGTGAAAAGCAAAAAAAGGGTCTTCGAGAATCTGAAAAGCTGAACAAGAATAAGACAATCACATTAAAAATTTGTTTCGTATTTTAATGCCAATATCTTAATATAATTACCGATAATGTGACTCGTCATTTAGATACATGTATTCCGAAAAGGTTTACAGCCAAATGCATTTATCATATTGCCACTCCTATTCTTCCTCATAATTGACGTAGACACCGCTTACGCGATTATATCCGAGTTAACAACAGCGTGCCAGTCGTTTCTTCTCTTCGCTACGTGGCGCCAATTGGATTTTCCAAGCGTAGCCAGGTCCTTCTCCACCTGCCCCTTCCAACGGAGTGGAGGTCTTCCTCTTCCTCTGCGTCCACCGGCGGGTACTTACGTCGAATACTTTCACAGCTGGAGTGTCAATGTCCTCATATATCTCATAGAGCTCATCGTTCCATCGAATGCGATATTTGCCGTGGCCAACGCGCAAAGGTCCATAAATCTTCCGCAGAACATTTCTCTCTAAAACTCACTACGTCGGCTCATCAGTTGTTGTCATCGTCCAAGCCTCTGCACCATATAGCAGGACGGGAATTATCAGTGACTTATAGAGTTTGGTTTTTGTTCGTCGAGAGAGGACTTTGTTTCTCAATTGCCTACTCAGTCCGAAGTTGTGTTGACGCTGGCTCCAAGATAGACGAAATTATCTACGACTTCAAAGTTATGACTGACAGGAAATATTTCGTCCCTCCTCCGTTCACTGCCAGACCGATTTGTTTTGCTTCCTTGTCCAGTCTGGACAAAGCAGAACTAACGGCGCGGGTGTTGAGGCCGATGATATCAATATTTTTTCGAAGAATTTTCGAGCATTACCCCAGTCGGCCAGCTTACCAAGCTCTTCGTACTCACGCATTTCGGCCTCTTTCTTTTTTTTGTCTGAAAATGCGTCTCGCTTTGTTTGTCGATCGTAACGTTGCGAGTTAGGCAGCCTATTTTCTCTCCGCTGGGACATGGCACTCCTCGTCGTATCAGCTGTTCCTTTGCCCTTTCCGAAAACCAATGGTTTCGGTTGCAGCCGTACGTAAGGAGTTTGAAATGCCGTCCCACAGCTCAATTATACCGAGTTGTTGACGAGTGCTCTCAGAGAGCAGGAGTGCAAGCCGAGTAGAAAATCGTTCGGCTGTCTGTTGTGTTTGCAACTTCTCGACGCCGAACCTTCCTTGTGTTTGTTGGCGTGCGTTTTTTACTGCGCAAAGGCGTGTGCGAATCTTGGCTGCAACAAGATAGTGTTCCGAGTCGATGTTAGGACCCTGGAGCGTATGCACGTCTAGAACACTGGAGACCTGTCTCCTTTTCATATCCGAGGCTTGTTGTTCGTTTTCCTTGGTATGATTTTTTTACGTGGCGGGACCCAAACCCTCCCTTGCGGAGGGGATGTTTCGCCCTCTCACTTTAGCTCGCCTTCAAACGGATTTTCTTAGGCTAATGTACATATAGTACATATGTATAAGGCAGAAGTAAAAGTTTAATACAATTAAAATTCATATTTTTATATAGTCGCAAATTTTTCTTTCAAATTTGTTGAGTAGTGTAAATATATAAGCATCAAATAAAGTATTTACTAATCAATAGTGAATATTTGTTTATTTTTTTCATAAAAAGGAATAAAACATTGAGATTCCTCATTGTCGGACACCCACCGCTACTTTTTTTTTGCCCGGCTGTGAGAGTTGTCCACAAATCGAAGCGTTGCAAAAAATGTATTTTTAGATTCACAATAATTAACTGAATGAAGTTGTAATTCTGAACAGTTTCTTCGGAGATTGTGTTATTTCCTTAAACAATAGCCCATACCAAATTTCGGGAATATATCGTCAAATGTTTTCCATACAAGCACTTGATTCTGATCGTAAATTTTATTGTATTATATTACCCTGTTCTGGATATTAAAAAGCAATTATAATTTGTACACAATTTTCTTTCCAAATTTTATGAATTTCTGACCGGTGGTCAAGAATAATTCGAACGAGATCAAGTTATAGGAATTGGTTCTGTATAATATTAATGTCAATGTTGTGTTCAAGAAATTTGTCCAATTGTGGGGATGAAGTAATTACTGAATAATGTGACATTCAGTCGTTACTTCCAAATATGTACGTTTAAAAAATTATTAAAATAAAATTTCAACAAATTTTATATATAACCCTTCTGAGCGGCAACACTGTACACGAATACTCTCTTAAACGGCCGCATGTTGCTCTTCCTCCTCTAAATAAGTTTTGCACACCGTTTCATTGCCATTTCGTTCCGGCCGCGTTTTCACAATAGATACAATTCTACACCGTCGATAAATACACTCAAATAACTATGATTTCTAACTTTATTTCGTTTAATTTGGGAATTTTTAATTAGAGTATTTTCAGAAAACAATGCTGCTATTGTCATAGTTATGAATATGCCGAATACAAATATTTCTCATGGATCACGAGCGTGTTTTGTCTACATCGCGCATACATATAGATATGTATGTATGTATGAACATAATATTATTTTGTGTTTGACTACTTGACTGCCAGCCGGCTTGCTGATTACACGTACACAAACATATGTATGGATATTACTTGACTGTCTGATTTCCACCGCCAACGCTCTACAACTGACTGCCGTTGCGGCTGCTGTTGTCGCTGCGGTTCCCGCCTCAGTCGACGCCGGCATTGCCATTGAAATTTAAATTGAAAGCGACGATGGTTCTCAACTTAATGGCAGCGAGCTCGTGTCCAAACATTAGTATCTAAAGAGTTCAGTAGTTGCAGATACATCGTCGCCTTCAGTGGTATCTAAATTTACGCAAGTTTGGAGGCTTACACGTATACATACATGCAGACGAACACATACGATAGCGAAAACGTTCACCACCGACATATCCACTTATGCATATATACTACCTATATAACTGTTACAAACACCATTAACCACCCCAACGGAGTCGAGCCTCAGAACGCAACAGTGACCACCCAACACTTCGTTTTCCTACCTTACGCAGTCCCATTTGAGTAGTGTACGCGAACGGCATCTCTGTAACTAGAAAAAATAAATAAAAAATGATTTTTATTCAAGTGTTGTGAATTTCAAGATCATAAATTGTGTGAGTGGATGCGTACAGAATTGCGACCAAAGCCATAAAATCAAAAGTGAAATTAATTGCAAAACCCAAAAGGCATAGCGGTATTATCCAAATAAATATTTATATAAATATATAGAAGTAGATCAGTGTAAGAAGCAACGAGTCCATTCAATATTTCAACGAAACTCTTCCACGAAGCAACCCAGAACTGGACAGTATTATTTATTTTGGTTTTTGTTTAAGTGACACATCCGGCGAGGCATCTGGATTGCGACCTGTGAATTACAACAACATATTATATTATAATATACATTCTTCCTTTCCTCCAAAGACTGGTTAGTGCATCTTTAGTTTTGTGCCAAATATAATATATGCTCGTTTATATAGAAATATAAGTATGTGTGTGCATTTGCGAAATTCTTGATTTTTATCTTGCTACCTGTGAATACAAATGCCTATATGCATTGTACATATGTACTTTAGAATTTAAGTCAGTCGGTCTACGTGTACGTGACGCATCTGTTGAGCGATAGTATATTGCCTGTGAGTGCCCAAATATAAGTACATACATATATACATATCCATTAATTCTTACGTATGGATAAGTAAATATTGACATAGATATATACAATTGCATATGCATGCATAAAGTGGTAATAGTTACTCAAAACTGTTTTAGGTATTAACTTCTGAGGGCTTAATAAACATACTTATGTGCACACATAACATATAAAAATATATATTCAAGTTTAATAAATGAACTGTAAGTATGAACTTATGGCAGTCACTCAACTATACATAAAGTAATTTTTCAAACCTTCTAAGTCTCATAATAATTTACTAAGAAGTAACTATGAGCACTACGTTTAAAAAATATACATATGCATATGTACGTACATACATATGTACATATATATTAAACTTGTGGTATATAATATGTTCGTCTACGTTACTAAAAACAACAAATATCAGTTATTCAGTATATAGAAGTGTATATTTTTATACTCTTGCAACATGCTGCTACAGAGTATATATAGAGTTTGTTCATCTAATGTTGTTTGTATCATCTAACAAGTAAGGAAGGGCTAAGTTCGGGTGTCACCGAACATTTATACTCTCGCATGATAAAGTGATAATCGAGATTTCAGGCGTTTTTGTGAGCCGATTTCATATTTGGTACATGTCATCACGGTGTTAAGAAAATATTATATACCGAATTTCATTTATATCGGTTGAGTACTTCCTGAGATATGGTTTTTGGTCCATAAGTGGGCGACGCCACGCTCATTTTCAATTTTTAAAAAAAGCCTAGATGCAGCTTCCTTCTGACATTTCTTCCGTAAAATTTAGTGTTTCTGACTTTTTTGTTAGTCGGTTAACGCACTTTTAGTGATTTTCAACATAACCTTTGTATGGGNAGTCGGTTAACGCACTTTTAGTGATTTTCAACATAACCTTTGTATGGGAGGTGGGCGTGGTTATTATCCGATTTCTTCCATTTTTGAACTGTATATGGAGATGCCTAAAAGAAACGACTATGTACAGTTTGGTTGACATAGCTATAGTAGTTTTTGAGATATGTACAAAAAAGTTAGTAGGGGGCGGGCCACGCCCACTTTTCCAAAAAAATTACGTCCAAATATGCCCCTCCATAGTGCGATCCTTTGTGCCAAATTTTATTTTAATATCTTTATTTACGGCTTAGTTATGACATTATATAGGTTTTCGGTTTCCGCCATTTTGTGGGCGTGGTAGTTTGCCGATTTTGCCCATCTTCGAACTTAACCTTCTTATGGAGCCCAGAAATACGTGTACCAAGTTTCATCATGACATCTCAATTTTTACTTAAGTATCTTGCACGGACGGACGGACAGACGGACGGACGGACAGACAGACAGACATCCGGATTTCAACTCTACTCGTCACCCTGATCACTTTGGTATATATAACCCTATATCTGACTCTTTTACTTTTAGGACTTACAAACAACCGTTATGTGAACAAAATTATAATACTCTCTTTAGCAACTTTGTTGCGAGAGTATAAAAATTGTCCAGATAAATATTGTGTTATATGTTTATTTATAAATGATTTTGATGACGAGAAGAGTTGAAAACTTCTTGGCTGTCTGTCCGTCCGTGTGACTGTGCTAGCAATACGCATATTTCTCGGCAAAATGGAAAGGAGGAATTCGTAGATGGGCGCAATCGGACCACAACGCATTAACCAAATACCTACAAAATGCTATAACTAAGCCGCAAAAAACTTGGTACAACGATTCGCAATAAGGAGGGACATCTATGGTTTGAAAATTTGTATAACGTGGTTATGGCTCCGCCCCCTAATAGGTATAAAACATATATCTCCCAAATGATTCAAGCTTTATAACCCAAATTTGCACAGGGCAAATGACTTCGACACTTCTTCCGATAGAGTGCAATGGGATAAAATCGAATGATAACCACACCCAGTCACCGTATAACGATTTGGTCAAGATGCAAGATTATGAAATGTTCGGTTAAACCCGAAGTTTGCCTTTCCTTATTTGATCCAGTGAGCAACAATCACAAAAGCACATGATGGTCATGATTTTCTTTACTTATGTATATGCATATAACACATATGTATTTGTACAGCAATTTCGTGAAAAAATATCAATGTATGTGAAATGCCGGTAACGTTTTATGGGGGGGAGACTGCCAGTCGCATATTTTATTGTCGTCATCGTCTCTAATCAGCAGCGGCAGCGTGAGCACGCATTACATCACTTCAAGCCAAATGTGGCACGAGAGCGGTTAAAAGCTTTGCATGTGGTCAACGAATTTGAATGACAACACAGCGTATAAAAATACATACTACATATACTTGTAAAGTATGTATACGCGTATTAAAGATTTACATATACAAAGTGGTTGTAGGTGCTCCACCAGCTGTGAAAGGCAACGGATTATACCTGCCAATCATGAGCGGGTAAAAATCCAGGTAATCAGTGGGTAAACATGTGGGTAGTTTGCCATAGGCCGCGTGGAGATTATACTCTCACACTTACGTATACATGTGATCATACATCACTGTTGCGATCATTCAGCAGTGTCATATAAAAAGGTATATCTGTCCTGCTCTAATATCCCCAATCGACGGCTGATTCAAGGTTGCATTTTAAACAGCTGATGCAGGGTTGCATTTTTTAATTCTTACTTTAAAAATTTCTTAAAA